GTCAAGGATGAAATCGCGGAGCCATGCCTTGATGTACCATGATTTCCTGAGGAATTGGGGAAAGTTAAGGTATCAGTGGGGATTTTTGTCTGGCTCAGTTGTTGATTTGAAGTTTTAGAACGGAATACGTTTGACCTGCAATGGCCCATCTTGATCCATCAGGGAATCTTTCTACGTTTGAATCCCATCTGAGCAGATCTGATGAATCCATGACATTCCATGGCGGCTTTTAAACAGCCAAGGGCATTCAAGGCAGTTCTAAGATGTTCCAAGGATCATAAGCCAACAAAGGAAGCCCAGCCAGAGGTGCGATCAGCAGTTTGCTCCTCATGCCACCAAAGAGGATGCTGCGACGCGAACGTGAGGGCTCTTTCAGGAAATGCTTCCATACACCTTAAGGACAAAACACAAAACTACCTGGGATCTCGAAGTATAGATTCTAGGTGTAATAGGTGTGTAATAGAAGTGTAACATCGTGCAATATATATATATATATTATCAGGACGATTCTAAATGTAGTAGAAGTTTATGTTTCACAGACAGGTTTCATGGATAAGAATAGCATGTATATTGCAACACTTTCGCGGGACTCGCAACAGTCCGTGACAAACCACAAGCAGGGCTAAAGGCTCCATGGCCATCCAATTCTCTCATTGTGCTCGCCTTTCAATACATGTTTGTAGCTTATAAATAAACATAGATATAAATCATATCCCAATAGCAATATAATATGTATACAGTATACATGTATAGGTATATAATGGTATATATATATATACTACGTGTAATTATGTATACATACATATCATATATATATATATTGTACACATATATACACACTTGCCATGAATTCCACCTGCTTTCTTTCTTCGAACCCCCAACAAGAAAAGTGTCCGGTCCCAGCATCCCGTGGGCTGCGCTTTGCTGCGCTCCGCCACATGCCACGCCAGCAGATTCTCAAAGGGCGTGCCGACGGCGCTCAGGACCACGCCGGAGCCGCAGGCGGCGATGGTCCAACCCCAAACGTCCTGGGCCAGGGAGCCCGGGATCTTGGAGATGCGGTGAAGAATAGAGGATTTATATGGGATATGGTGGGGATATGGTGGGGATATGGTGGGGATGTCATGGGACTATCATGAATGTGAGTCAATATTCCCATTATATAGAGGATTGATGTGGGGATAGACCCCTTTTTCCCAGAGGAGTTTTGTGGGATATAATGGGAGGATAGTGGGGATAATCATGAAGGATTTGACGGGAATATAATGGGAATCTACTGGGGGTATTGATGATATCCTGCAAGAATGGGAATGTAATGGGAAGAAACGAACAAAACCAACCATTTTAAGGGGATGTATAAGGTGCCCCTCATTAATGTGTGTTGGTTTATGTTGCTACCAAGAACGTCCATATTACCATAAGTTGGGGCATCACCTTGTGAGGATATGTAATGTAAATATAATGAGGATATCACCTGCCTAACGGGGATACATTCTTGGGGATGGGGATGTCAGTTTGCAAAGATGGGGGCTGTCACAACTTGGGAATCCAATCATCAACCAGCCATTTTATGGACATATAATCTTAGGGGATGTAAATAATCAGCAATATATTGAATAGGTAAAATGATGATCAGCCAATGGATTTGGTGCTACCCAATGTTTGGACATAGCCAAAAAATATCTGAATCATCCAAAATACCAAAATGACGATTTAACCAGCAACATTGGGAATCTACCGTCCCCACGTTTAACAAGTTGTTGAAGCCCAAGATGGAGTCCCATCTGTCCCATCTTGGGACCTCCCACCTTCTCTCCAGAGTCATCCAACTGGTGCCGCAGCCAACTGGTGGTTTTCAATTTGAGCCACTCGTAGCTGGTAAAGAAACTCATCAACGCCAAGACTTCTTGGGCCATGATGAAGGAATAGTTCTGAAAGCATCCTCGCAAAACTTACTGACGAGGGAATAGGGGAATGACCCATAGAAACAACTACTGTATCAACTGACTAGGGAATAGGGGAATGACCCATAGTAACAACATGTAACAACTATCATCCCATTCCCCCATTCCCTACTAAGCACCATCAGAAAATCACGGAAAAATCGACATGGTTTGCTGTAGATCAGCCACCTTTTTGGAGCTGCGTTGCGCCACAGTGCTTTGGGATGATCTTGAATATCCACAAACTTTGGCCACAGGTTAGCCATGATGTTTAATGATGTTTCACATGAACCCAACCGTCAAACCTGGTGTTTTTCTGGGGATTTCTCTGGGACATGGCATGGCTCAGCCTCTGATGCCCGCTCTGGCATGAAGTTCCACCAATCTCTGGCCCAGGGCTTTCTGATCGCGATTCGCTGCGATCCTCAGCTATCCCCGGAGCTGTTCCCCCCCGTGTTTTCAACAGTTGTTGATACTGCCATAGGAAGGTAAAGCTGTTTTGGTATGTTTAATTTCAGACCTGAAACTCATCAAATACCAGTACCTGAAAGTACCTCATGATTTGTTCCTGCTTCATGTTCGGCTCAAACAACCCCGATCATTGATCAAAAGAAGTGTCCCAAAACAAGTACACACAAAGACCAAAAAAAAAATCAATACTACGTATGCACGCTATCTGGACCCTGTTAAAGCCCAAACCTAGGATTTCAACCTTTAGCTTGTATTCATTTTCAGTCTACGACAAAGATGTAATATGTTCTCAAACATGGATCCTAATATGGGTGTCAAACTTTGAAACTCTAGAGTTCGCTTCATACACCCAAATGAAAAAAGCATTAAAAAAACAATAATATATATTTCCCAGTTCAGAATCTCATCATCGCGACAGAGCCGCACGTTGTATAAAGGACTGTGCAACGTCGCTTGCATCAGCCCCGCGCTGGCACCGGCCAAGGCCTCGCAACAGAGCGGCATCTCTGCCAAGGGTGCCAGGGATGGATAGCTGTCAGCCCAGCTGTGCAGCATCAGCCGGGTGGTGGTGTAGGTGTGGAACATGACCATGGCAATCCCGGCGTTGGCCGCGTAGGGCAAGATGCTTTTCGTGGAAAGACCTTTCAGCCCACTTTCGCGCACTTCTTTGCCTTGGGAAAAAGGGGGACAGAGAGAGATTCGGATGCACGGCACTGCTGGATGGAGGAACTATGAACAACAAATCAGTCTCAGTTTTCATTGACTTTCTATCAAATCTCCAATGAGTGGAACTCTTCAAAAGTGGCTGTCGTAAAAATGCCCAAAAAATGGTGGGCCATGGGAAACACTATAAGTTAGCGACAGCCTGGGTCGAATGATCCATTTTGGGTGCCCCAAAATGGTACTGTCTACTCCCAACAGTCAACATTTTTCTGTGCATTCTGAACCTTAATATCTGGCCCGCTGTTAAAAGAAATCCTGAATATGTATACACATATCATATATCTATAGATCATCTATAGATACATTTACTCACATCTATAGTCTATATATTTATATTATGTATATATACAATATACAGTATACAGAATGTCTCATGTTGGATTGCCCAGCTGCGCATAGCTTCCACCGTGGACATTTCTTTTTGCCGCCGAAAGGGATCCAAAGGACTGATGACCTGCCGCCGAAAGAGCTTAAAGGGGTTCTTCATGTAGGCTTCCTGAGATTGCCGGGCCGGGCACAAACTGGTGAAGACATGGTGACATGGTCAACCTCATGTCTGGTGAAGACATCCTGTCTCTGTGAATAGGGTCAACCTAAGTGTCCTGCATTTTGTTCCACACCTGCCAGGTGAGGGTCTCTAGTTTTCAACAAAGACGGTTCTCGGACGTTCTCGGGGTGAAGATCACCCGGTCAAATATCACTTGAACAGAACAAATGAAACCCGCCTCTCGCAGTTACAACGTTTAGATCATTTTCTTTCCGTTTGTAACCCAGGAATTGTAATCCAGGAATCTAACAAGTCAATTTGTAAAAGGAAATCTCCCGCCACACCCGATCAATTTTGTTAGTCGCAAATGGAAATTTCCCATTCAACAAACCTGGAGCATCAGCGAGATGGTAGGCAAGCTGGGCCAACCATTCTTCCACCATAGTGGGCCACGCCTCGACCCAAAGACATGCCAAATTAAGGGCCAGACATAATGCGGGAAAGAATGTCTGAGTCAGAATAAATGCCAGATAAAATGTCTGAATATATGCCAGAAAGTCTGTCATGAATAGATGTCACGTAGAATGCCAGAAAGAATGTCGAGATGCCAGAAAGTATACATGTCTGAATAGATGCCAGAGAGAATGCCAGAAAGAATGTCAGAATAGTGTCAGGGTGGGGATCACTCGAAGTAAGGCAAATAGTTTTTTCATACGTAGATACCGCATATCTATACGGAGCAAAGTGACTGAAAAACGGTAGGCCAGCAAGCAAATTCAGAGCCGCTTTGATGGAGCAAAAACAAATTGTGTGGTCAAAGCCCGTCAAGAGCGAATTTCGGCCCATGAAATCATGTTTCTTGGCTAAACCAAAACGCTTGCGATAAAACCCACATGTATGGTGCTTCTTAAATAACTGATCTTGTGGATTTAGCAATCCACTTTTCCTGGACGCCCTTATTTGTTCGTTGTGGTTACTTCATCTAGCGTTCTTCCGCCCAGCGTTCATCAAGGCGCCAACGACAGGGCAGCCTTGGCCTTTGCGAAAAACATGCCCTTCTTGGCGCCCAAGAGACAGAATTTGGCCACTGCCAGTGCCTTGGAGGCACTGGGTTTACTGTGGCAATTATTACCAAAGCATTGAATCATTACCTTGAGATCATCCCAGTTATGAGTAATCCACTGGTTTTCAAATCCAGTTTATTGTTACTGCATGACTATTACACACCTGTCATGTTATTGTCGCGTCATACCAATGTCGACCCTGGATCAACAATTTTTTTTGATTCATTGCACAGGTTATCGCCAATAGATCCAAATGTGATATAAATCTATTACAATTGATATCCACCTGGTGCCAACCCGAATCTGTCTGGTGAATCCCCGCAGATTATCCCATTGAATCTCGATGTTGCTGGAAATATCCCGAGAAAATATCCCCAATTTGTTGGTAATTCCCTGACAAACCTTATTGATCCTTATTAGTTGCCAACTCCCTCATCTTCATCCATATTCCTCCTTTATATCCCCATGTCAAAGATTCGTCATAGATGTGGAAAAAACCTGTGGTGCCCACATGTTTTGAAAGTTTACAGGGTGGATTTTGTAGATTTTCCATATTTGTTTGTATCGTTGTGGCAGGGTATGGGGCCCATTCATTGATATCACCATGTTTGTCACAGTTAAATCAAATCGCTATTACCCTCTGGTAATCAAACATGGCAATGGAAAATCATTTAAATTTATAAATGATTTTCCAGGTAAAAAAAAATCCATTTATGGGGTATTTCCCAGCTTGCCACGTTTGAATACCGAAGCGTAATCACGTTTGAAAACATTGAAAAACCCAGGTTAATATCATCGATGTCACCATGATTCACCGTGTTGGTTCAATCCTGTTAAATCCCTAATATGGTGATATTATCATATCACAATTATAATGTCTGTTGGTTCATTCTCCCTATTGATTACCCATATACATCATCCATAATATCACTACGATATTAATCGAAGGAAGTTTAGAAGTGAAACTTCCGACAATATGGACAGTTGAAAAGCAGAGGTGAGAAGAGTCAGAAGAGACAAGATCAGAAGAAAGAAGAGGTAGATGCGCGAAAAGATAGAAAAGTCGCGATTCACTGTGTTTTTCCAATGATTTGTGGCTCCGGAGGGTCGAAAAGTAGGCTCGCTAAAGCGGCGGGTGCGGAGCCAGCTGGCCAGATGAGAGATGAAAAGTGCACGCCGTTGTGGCGCGAAGCACATTTCCAAGTCAAAATGGACAAAGCACTAGAGGAGCGGACCACTTTTGGAAGTTGAGATGTCGAAAAAGTGCACGCCGTTGTGGCGCGAAGCACATTTTGAAGTCAAAATGTACAAAACACCTCAGTTCGGACCACTTTTGGAAGTTGGATGTCGAAAAAGTGCACGCCGTTGTGGCGCGAAGCACATTTCCAAGTCAAAATGTACAAAACGCGGACCACTTTTGGAAGTTGAGATGTCGAAAAAGTGCACGCCGTTGTGGCGCGAAGCACATTTCGAAGTCAAAATGTACAAAACACCGCAACCTCGGACCACTTTTGGAAGTTGAGATGTTGAAAAAGTGCACATTTCCAAGTCAAAATGTACAAAACACCCAACCTCGGACCACTTTTGGAAGTTGCGATGTCGAAAAAGTGCACGCCGTTGTGGCGCGAAGCACATTTCCAAGTCAAAATGTTAAAAACACTAGGGGTTCGGACCACTTTTGGAAGTTGAGATGTCGAAAAAGTGTCGAAAAAGTGCACGCCGTTGTGGCGCGAAGCACATTTCGAAGTCAAAAGTGTAAAAAACTGATGGTTTTTGAGCCTTTTTTGACGTGAAGATGTCGAAAAAGTAGACACTGATTAACTTAACTAACTTGACTAACTTAACTAACTTCACTAACTTAACTACCCTAACTTCGACGACAACAGCAACAACAGCAGCAACAACAACAACAACACCAACCACAACAACAACAACAACTACAACTACAACAACAACTACAACTACAACAACTACAACAACTACACAACAACTACAACTACAACTAGAACTACAACTACAACAGCTACAACAACAACAGCAACAACAACAACAACAGCAACAACAGCAACAACCAACAACAACAACAACACTACAACTACAACTACAACTACAACTACACAACAACTACAACTACAACTACAACAACTACAGCTACAACAACTACTACCTACAACAACAACTACAACTACAACTACAACTACAACTACAACTACAACAACAGCAACAGCTACAACTACAACTACAACTACAACAACTACACAACAACAAGGGAACACCGCCTTGAGGCGGGTGTGGGTTTTCTACAATTGTGTACTTGGTGATTGAATCAAAAATCACCTTTTTACACTGTAATTTACAGTATTTTGTGCTTGTGATCTATGATGTTTTGACGTTTGCTGCAAGATGACTCAAGATGTCAAAATGCCAAAAAAAAACTTTTGCAATTCCGCAACATCTGCTTGAGGTTCAATGCATTCTTTTTTCCCTCAGTGCTCTTTCAGTCGGCATTCTTCGTTTTGAAGAGCTTGCCCAAAGTCTGGATGTATTGATGCTGGTGTGCAAATCTAAATTGCCATGATCTCACATAGATCATGAGCTTTTTATTGAGGCGTCCTCTGTGCAACGTCTTCGGTAGCGTCATCTTACAGTCGAAAGGAACGTTATCATCCCCCCCCCCACCCCCCCTCCCGGTCAAGGTAGCAAGACGTCAGCAACAAAGTTGGGCAACGTGTCTTCGGTAGCGTCATCTTACAGTCGGCAAGAGCGTTCAACACGTATACTGCCAAAGAGCACAAACGTGGAAAAAACCACGCCCGCCTCGGGGCGTTGACCCCAACAACAACAACAACAACTACTACTACTACTACTACTCCTACTACTTACTACTACTACTACTACTACTACTACTACTACTACTACTACTACTACTACTACTACTACTACTACTACAACAACACTACACAACAACTACAACCACACAACAACTACAACTACAACAACTACAACTACAACTACAAAACAACTACAGCTACAACCATATGACTGCAACTACACTACACTAATTACATTACACCACAACTACAACTCCACTACGCTACAACTACAACTACAGTTGCAGTACATCACACTACATCCAGCAGTTGTGGGTGAGGTGACCACTGCAACCATTGTAACCATTCCAGCAAACACAACTCCAACCACCTTTCGGTCAATCAGTGGCTTCGCTCTGCCATCCCTGATTCACAACAACCAACTTCTCCTATAGGTTTCCTATTTTTGAAACTTCCGCGACCGCCTTGTGCGGTACTACTGGTATCACTATAATATCACTATAATATCACTATAATATCACTATAATCACCCATTCCACCGATTTCTTTCACTGCACGTCCCCGCCTTCACTTTCACCGCCACCAACATCGGTATCAAGGCGATGCCGCCTAAGGGCCGCAGGATGGCAACCAGCGCCCGAGCCTTGGTTGGAAATGGGGAACTCTGCGTTGGAGACCTGAAAATGATGGAAAAATTGCGGAAAACTGATGGGAAACATGGGAAAACTATTAAAAGTATGAACAAAACACAATTTTACCATAGGGGTTCTCATCATGTTCCACTTAGATACGCAGTTTATGACATTTTTCTCTCTATGGGAGAAAACATTGACGGACCCATATATATATACTGTGAAACCAGCATCTTCGCAACCAAGCGCAAAAAGGCATTGAATACTTAGCGTCAATTGCCGCCGTCCAGCGCGCACTTTACGGACAGGCGCGTGCCCAGACCATGGGCACAAAAATGGGGCCACGAATTTGGAGGCCAGGCTTCTAAATTTTGAATTGCGGCCCCATTTCTGGGTCCGGAATCTGGCTCTTTTTGAGGTCGCAAAACACGTACAGGAGCTGCGACATCGAGCTCCGTATAGGCAGCAAGGAAAGATACGCTGGTACATGTGCTGCCGCCACTGCGGGCTGGCAATCCATGATACTATGACAATGAGGGTACACCCGCCAAACCAACAAAATCAATCTCTCGCCGCCTGCCGATGCTATGGACGCCCAGTCTCTTGCGCGTGGGCTGCTCACTGTGGCATGCCCTGGTAGTGCGCGGATGCTGCGGACGCCCAGTCCATGCCTGCGGACGCCCCCTTCGGGCACGCCCTACCACTGTGCGGACGCTGCGGACACCATTGGGCCTTACTAAGCTAAGTTAAATGCAACGGGGACGGTGGGAGGGTGAGGGAGGAGGACGGGACGGAAAGGGCGCCAGAGTGATTTTGGAGGAAAGCGTTGTATCACGGAATTTGCCCAAACGAGGCACCTTGGCTTGACATGATGCTCGGAACCTAGCCCCGGAAGTGGGACCGTGTAACTGTTCCAAAACAACCTTCCACGCCATGTCCCCTCATTGTATATATATAAATGGGCTAAACATCTATGTTTTAATGCGGGAATTACCAAAGGTTTTGGATAGATATGGGGGTGGATGATTTGAATGAAACCATATGTTTTTCACTTTTTGGGAGAAGATCTAACAACCAGCTATTCTGGCGCTGGAACCACTGCAACACGATTTGGGGATCGATTAGCTTTCACACCAAAATAGTTGGTATATAGTTCTATATGTGAGACCACCCCATCCATATGGGAAAATATCCTAAAAAATCACGACCAACCCAAACTAAATACTGCCAACAATTCCAGTTGCCAAATGATTTTTTTCGGGATTCTTAAGGGTCCCCAAAAGCATATGAAAAGTAAATCACCATATCACCAACACAAAATATAGAATCAAACATCCCAAAAATCCAGAGTTCCCACGGGTTAAGTTAGTTGTTTTGTCCAGCTGCCATGCAGTCCGTCATTTTGCAAATATCCATTGCTGTAGTTAAACCCAAAAATAATCTGCCGGTTAAATCCCCATTGTTACATTGTTGTTGGTTTGAAATCCAAAATCCCAATGTTGATGTTAAATCCAATTTGTGTGTTGGTTAAACTCCCTTGACATCCGATCTTTCAAATTGTATAAATAAATGGGTTTAAGAAGAGATACCCAAGACTATGGCAAGAGTCAAGCGGAAACGTGATTTTCTTCATGGTTCCCATAAATTTCGCCAAACCTAAAACATATTATTGCTTAATTAATTATGTCTAACCATATCGCCATTATCTCCCGTTGTATAATCGTTAGCTCACATCCCATCGATCTTATCCAATTAATTCTATTACATTATGTATAACTATTATATATATAATTATATTATTTCCATTATATCCGAATACATATATATATATATATTATCAAATTAAATCCCATTAGATCCCATTTACCCATATTTTTCCATTCCCAAACATCGAGCCACCACTCCCGCCGACACGGCGGCGACATCTTGCTGCCGGCTCAACAGGTCCAACACCAGCAGTGCCTCATCGTTCTGCACGATCCAAGTGCTGACTTCCTGAGGGCTGAGATTGATGGGAATGGATCTGGAAAAAATGATAAAATGGTTGCAAAATGATTATAGATCTGATATGATTATGGTCAATAACAGTGATACTAACATTGCTACACACTAGTAATAATAATCTTTATAATACTGATACTGGCAAACATAGAAATACTAGTAAGGATAATCGTTATCATTATCATTTCTGGCTATCATAAGATAATAGGTATAATGGTAATGATAATCATGATATATCATGATCATTATCATTTCTGAGCATCGCAAAAAATGATTTTAATCATTGGCAATTGAAATGGGTCTGTACTGGTCCCATTCATGGCCATTTAGATGGGAGAAACCAAGGCAACCTACTTTCATGGCCAATCCGTGATGCCCAGTGTCAACAGGTGTTTTAGTTTGCCGATCAATCTATATGATTTGTCTTTCTCTTTCTCTCTCTCTCTCTCTCTCTCTCTTTCTCCATTGATGGCAAAAAACAGATTACCCTCTGGTAATTTAACGTAGCTATTGAAAATGGCCATAGAAAACCCATTGAAAATGGTGATTTTCCATAGCTGTTTGTATGTTTACCAGAGGGTAACCTACGTATCCAGTCGCTGTGTACCCAGCCATATGCATCTTCGACTTTCAATCCCTATTTCTGATGATCAATCCCGATTTTTTGGATGATTGAATCCACATTTAAGAATTGGTTGAATCCCCTTTTTTCTTCAATCAAGTTATCACCTGCATATTTGTTGCACTATATGGTTTAATCAAATTCAAGCAAAAATCTCCATGTAACTGGTTAAGTCCCAAATTCCTATTCGTTGATTCAATCCCCGACCCCGCTGGCAACATCCCCCCGGCCTCAAAGGATACCGTGTCGCGGCCATTGCGGGCAGTGGCCTCTGCAAAAACCTGCCGGGAAGTGACTTTGGAAAATATGAGAAGATAAATGTATATATGTGGAGGTTTCATGGAAAGCGATCCCATCAAAATGAAGATTTCGGAGGTTATTTCATGTTGTTTCCCCATAACATGTTTCCCACATATGATTATAATCACAATTGAATGGTAGCTTACGTCAAGTTACATCCCAAATCTGTTACACCAACAAAAATGACATCCCCGTTTTGGTTGCATAAGCCTCTATTTGTTTGTCTTGGTTCAACCTACATATGGATACTGAAATGGTGGTGTCTTAAAATGGGGATCCCCAAGTCACCATGGTTGTTACAATACTAAGTCATGGTCATCCATGACCTGGATGGGGGTACCTCCTACGAAACCTCCATATCTTGGCTTTTTTGGTCAAATTTATCAACCACCAAAAGTGCTTTAACCTACACAGATTTTGGATTAACCTACATATTTTTGTTTAACATAGCCATGGTATAGATGGCCCATAGAAATAGATGGTTTACCGAACTTAAAAATGGTGGATCTTTCCATGGCAAACTGTTAGTCATAACCAGAGGGTAACCATGATGAATGTCTGGTTTTTACAATATGACATATTATGACTTATTTACAATATTAACCATGATTAATTTATCCAATATAACCATGTCATATGTTATATGTCCTGTGTTTTTCGATGGATCATGATGGATCCCATGCCGCCTTCTTCAGTTCCTCTAGGGTCAACGTCAGCTTTAAGGACTGGGCCAAAGCGCAGAACTCCTGTGACTTTTTCGGATCCAGGGATGGGAAAACCCCATCACTAAGATGAACATCCGTGACCTACCAGCTATTTTGGTGTGAACAGCAGGTTTTTGACCCATAGCCAAATTGGTATGACTGAAACTGCAATCAACTCTGAAAGTAAATCTGTTCTTGAAAGTTGGGAACAAGAAAAATGCATCGAAAGAGGCTTGTGTGCAGTGAACACCTCACTTTTCAGGAATTGAGGTTAATTCGACATCGCAGAAAAGAAAATGGAGTTCCCACAAAAAGTCTGGAAGAACATTGTCCTACTGCACATTGCTGGGTTTGATTTTGAAAGATTTGATGGGGGACCAGGAGTTCAAACCCAACAGGTGCCAGAATCTTCACCCTATGGAGATCACAAGATATCACAAGCAGATACATATATCATATATCAGATACAGTAGTGACTCACAAGGATTCACAGGCATGGCCAATATAAAAATCAACACCAAATACCAATAAGATATCTCGGAGAATGACGAGTATGTACAGGATTTGCAAGTATATATTTCCCTGCTCAAGATCGCTCCTGAAAATTGAGTTCCGAAGTTGCATCCGCTCCAACCCGTCCATGTCGGCTGTAGAGATCATGCAGCGCAGCTCTCTGTTCGGTCGACAGCTCCGGGGCCATCGAAGGTATGGCATGGGCATGGGCCAAAAATTGGGAACACTGACAGGTTGAAGGCTTGAAACAGAAAAAAACAACTTGGGGACTTGTGATGAAATCAGCAAGAGTTGGGTGGTGTAGCCCAGAACTCAAAGCCGTAAGTTCTCAATTTTTGACCCACAGCCACATGGTTCCTAGATCCCAGACCATTTCGGATGGTCTTGAGCCAAAGGCTTTCAGATCAAACAAAAGCGTAGATCTCTCATGACCCACGGCTGGGGTACACCACCAAATTTAACATGGACCTCAAAATGGCCCCAACCTTCCTGTGAATAAAATCGTGTCCTTGTTTCTTGATCCTGCTATTTCTTTTTGGTATAAAGGAATATGTAAAGGAATATGTTGGCGGTAAAAAAACAATGCTTTTCTGTAGATTTTCGAAAGAACTAATCTATCAATTGCATTGCAAAAAGTATCCCATATAATCCCGATATGTTCATGGTCAAATCCCCAAGTTGTTCCAACGGTGCCCCAAAATATAGCTAAGTTGACTTAGAACTCACATTGAAGGGGGCCCCTGGCCTGCCACGCAGCTGCTCGTCCTGCAAGTCCTGTCTTAACGCCTCAAGGGCATCTGCTAGGCTACCTGGCACGGTGATTCCGTGACCGGTGGCGCTAAGGTGCCATGCAAGCGCATGGAAGTGGGATACCCTTTTTTCATTCAGCCGCACTCAAAGGATCGATCCTTGCGGCCTAATGCACAATTCTCGAATTGGAAAAGGCCAAAGACCAGGGAAATGAGTCAAGGCAACAGAAAACACGTGGGATACAAAACCAACAAACAAAACGGGACTTAACAAATCAAAATAAGAGATACACTGAGATATAAGTGGATATAATGGAATAGAACCAACAAATTGTGGGGAGACAGTAGGGATATGTAGGAATATAACAAAGATAGACTACTGGGGATATACGTGGGACTTTAACCAACATTGGAATTTAAAAACGGGTTCAAATGGGACATGATTGGGGATATACTGGGAACATAACCAACAAATTATGAAGAGCTCTTTGGGATGCAATGGGGATATCGTATGGAATATAATTCCCCAAAATATGGAAAAATGATCCATATTGATCACATTGATAATCCGTGTTAATCATCATATTACCGGTGATTAACAATCCTTGCCGTGGATGGACAAATCCAGCACCAGTTGGTAACTATTGGGAACTGCAGAAACGAACGTGCAAATAATTGGATAGCATACGAAAAACCATCTACCAACTGGTGCAAGATTTTGTCCATCCACAGTGTTAGTAAAGCAATGTCACGAACCACCCATATGGATTGATGGTCGGAATCCCACCCATTTAGATCATTTCTGATAAAGTTTGGGATGGCGGACCCTATTGCTTTACGAATATCATGAATAATGATGGTTTGTCTAAAAAATTAATTGAAAACCCCCCAACTCCAATTGATTGCAACATCATTTTCCCATATTTATCCACAGTTTTCCTCTTAAAATGGCTATGAATGTGGGTATCCCCCATTTTCCGACACACCTCCTGGTGTCACAAAACAACCCATCCCCACCTGCTGACAGCAATGTTTCGGCCGTGATCCCTGTGAGTTCCGAACAGAAGCGAGTGATGGGCGTCCTCACGGTGAAGAATATGCGTCATCCATGGATGCTATAGATACTATATAGTCATCCCCAAATAGATGGAAAAGTAAGTCCCTACTAATTTGATGGTGATTTACTTTTCCATCTATTTGGGGATGACTATAGAATTGAAGCGCAGGCGAAACCCTTTTGACGGTACTTGAGCCAAACATATGTTTGGCCTATAGGTGAAAACCCTGACCCAGAGGTGGTAGTTTAAAGGACCTGCTCGGATGAGCAAACTTGATATCAGGATACATGCAATAATATTCATGTTTATTCCATTAGCTATACATGCTATACATGGTTCATGCATCCTTTACACATGGTGTCTATACATATGGGAAAGTCCCAAAACGTTTCAAGAACCCCCCCCGGATTGGATGGCGGACTGTAAAGCCCGCGCAAGGCGCTGGTGTGGTTGCACCAGCGCTGGAGTGGACCCCCCCGGCCAGGGATCCGCACCAACGGCAAAGACATGATCAAAGCCAACCAATTCGGGCGAAGGAAACGCAAAAGCGCTAAGCATTTTACCCTTGCGCATGTGCAAAAACATGCTCTTAATTATTGCCACAAGAATCCTTTGCCTCACTCCGTTAGACAGTTCTCCCCCCCATTTCTGCGCGTCGGGCAGGCACAGGTTGGGACATCTTAGTCTCAACAGGCATCCAGCCATAGGCAATGATGTAGCGCCACATTATTGCCAGCAAATTCAAAGGAGTAGAAGCGCTGCTGGAGAAACACCCTTCCTTAGTTAGGGACTGCGCAAAGGCGCAGGTTGACCCCCCTGGAAGTTACTTGGGGAGTGAAAGAGGCCCAATCCTGAGTTTCTGGATTGCGTCCACAAATTTGGCCCTTGGTAACACCTTAGTGAAAAGATCAGCGAGCTGATCCCACGATTCAGTGTACCTCAGTTCTAGGCCTAAGTCGCGGATGGATTCGTGTATCGCGGCTATTGACAGCTTATGCATTCTGTTCATTGATTTCAACTTTGGCTCAAGTACCGTCAAAAGGGTTGACCTATAGTACAGATATAGATACAGATAGTATACAGTACATAGGATAATTCTATAGATACAGATATAGTACAGATAGTATATATGTATATATCTATATTTGTACTATACTATTGTATAGTATGTAGTATAGCACAGATATATATATATATATACACGTGTCCTACGAAGCTATTTTGAAATCTGATTTGTAGAATCTGATTTGCCTGATACTGTAAAAAAATGTACCAAAATCAGAGGAAATAAAATCTTGTCCAAATAATATACAACTAGTATGGAAACATAGCGACTTTGTAGATCATTGTCCCATTTGGTTGGTTGGATGCTCTAAACAACTAACCAATATTGAGTGGGGTATATAGCCACTTGCAAAATTGCATGTCTTGGCACGTCAAAGAAGCCACGACACAATTTCCGGTAGATCTACTTGTGGGTGCATCCCATTTAGTAAATGCGACATTAACTAGATTATATCCTACTTATAGATAAAAATATCTCCAGCTTTATATATACATATATATATTACATATGTATATATGTATGTATGTATAGATGTATGTATATATGGATGGATGGATGGATGGATGGATGGATGGATGGACGGACGGACGGACGGACGGACGGACGTATGTATGTATGTATGTATGTATTTGTGTATGTATGTAATGTAATGTAGTGTAGTGTAATGTAATGTAGTGTAGTGTAATGTAATGTAATGTATGTATGTGGGTATGTATGTATGTATGTATGTATGTATGTTTGTATGTATGTATGTACGTACGTACGTACGTATGTATGTAGGCAGGTAGGTATGCATGGATAAATGGATGGATGGATGGATGGATGGATGGATGGATGCATGTATGCATGCATGCATGTATGCATGCATGGATGCATGGATGCATGGATGCATGGATGCATGGATGCATGCATGCATGCATGCATGCATGGATGCATGGATGCATGGATCCATGGATCCATGGATGCATGGATGCATGCATGCATGTATGCATGCATGGATGCATGGATGCATGGATGCATGGATGCATGGGTGCATGGATGCATGGATGCATGGATGCATGGATGCATGGATGCATGCATGCATGCATGTATGCATGCATGGATGCATGGATGCATGGATGCATGGATGCATGGATGCATGGATGCATGGATGCATGTATGCATGCATGCATGCATGTATGCATGCATGGATGCATGGATGCATGGATGCATGAATGCATCCATGCATGGCTGCATGTATGCATGCATGGATGCATGGATGCATGGATGCATGGATGCATGGATGCATGGATGCATGCATGCATGTATGCATGCATGGATGCATGGATGCATGGATGCATGGATGCATGGATGCATGGATGCATGGATGCATGGATGCATGCATGCATGGATGCATGGGTGCATGGATGCATGGATGCATGCATGCATGGACGCATGGATGCATGGATGCATGGATGCATGGATGCATGGATGCATGGATGCATGGATGCATGGATGCATGGATGGATGGATGCATGGATGTATGGATGGATGGATGCATGGATGTATGTATTATTATGGGTTGTATGCATGGGATATAAACCACTCTAGCCACTCTAGCCACTCTTCACGGACTCGGCGCTCCTTTCATTTTTGCAGTAGTGTTGTCTTTCGTAGGCCAATCGATTCTCCTCCCACGCTGCAGAACCATGTGGATCCTCCACCATGTGGATCTCCGCATGAAAAATATCAACCTTCGCATGAAAAATAATAGTAGCCTTTTTTTTTGTATGGCCATATGCCATATTCCATTCCTTGGAAATGACTCATCACCATTCATGTTTTTCGGCAAATTTCGGTGGCCCCCATTCATCCCAAAAAAGATATATCTCCGTGATTATCTCCCATGTAGCCCCCGTAGCCACCGGGTGGCTGTCTAAAAATGTTGGATACCTCTAAATCCAACGGTTTATCATCATTCTCTCCTATTAAAATCTATGAAAAACACCAACTGGGGGTATACTCTCTTGGGGGTAGTCGCCGGTAGGTAAAAAACCATGGTATACCCTCTGGTAATGACTAACATAGCTATTGAAAATCGCCCATTTATAGATATATCTTAAAAATGGTGATTTTCCATAGCTATGTTAGTTTACCAGAGGGTACCCTATTCTCAAACAAAGCCTCCAGAATTCCAGCAGCCCATGCAGGAACCTTTCCAGTTCCAGGTGAGTCTCCTTCGCATCGTAGATGACGTAGGAGAACTCGATGATCTCCACATCATCACTGTGGACCTGGAGGACGTGAGGAAAAATTTATCACGCAATGGCTATCACCGGGAACAATACAGTTATATA